ACGCCACTTGCCCAGAAACGGACGGGCGCCTGATTCCACCGTGTCGTGCGTGACACACATACGTTTTGATTTTAGTTTTAGTAAGAGTTATACGGCACTTGCAGCACAATACGGTCATATAAGTGCCGAAGATTAGAGGTGTTACAAGAGAGAAACAAACACAAAAAAGAAGTAGGGGAGAAGGACGATAGATGTTTGATGGGAAAGTAGGAGCAAACCACACCAGAGCACCCGCCAACCACCCACCTTACGTTTTGATGAGATGGCGCCTCACGTGTTTATCGCTTTTGCAATGTATGTATATCTGTTACAACAACACACCCACACCTACACAGGGGGCTCTCGTGGCCTAGAGGTTAAGGTGTTGGCCTCTCATTCAAAGGTCCCGGGTTCGATTCTGGGTAGCGCTGGAAAAATTTGCTTCTCTAAAATTGTCTCCTTTTACCTCCTTTCCTGCTCTCTAGCAGTAGTCTGACGTCTGCTTTCATCTCCACTGTCTGCCCCCACCCCCTCACCCCCTCTGCACCTCTTCCCTGGGGTTCCGACTCTTTCTGTAGCCTTTCTACTGCTACTTCTTGGCTCCTTCTTACTGCTGTCTTTCAGCCAAACCCCTGATCTTCTGGTAGGAAAAATCTACACCCAGCCTTCTCGGAAAAGGGCAAAAATCTCTGAGGTCCCGTTTGCAAGTTTGGCACGTTCAAGATCCCTTGGATTTCCCCGGGCCGTGCGAGACACACTTACGTTTTGATGAGATGACACCTCACGTGTTTGTCGTTTTTGTAATGTATGTATATCTATTACAGCAACACCCCCACCCTCACACCTACACACGACAGAACTTGCGAGGTGAGAAAAGGATCAACTAGCTCTTTTGTCTGCCGTGGCACCCCAATCAGTCATTTGTTTGTCCAGGAAAGTCCGTCCTGATGAAGAGTTCACGCCTAAAACATATAAAGATTGGACGGATCTGAAGGTAAAATATTGCCTGCCTCAAAGTCCAAGGAACGCACAGAGAAGTTATCTGAAATCCAAATCGTGAGTATGAACACATTATTCTTCACTCTCTCCTTGTATAGTTAGCAACGCGCTGCAACATTCTCTGTGTGGGTGGTTGGCGGGTGCTTGGTGTGGTTTGCTCCTTCTTTCCTATCAAACATCTATCGTCCTGATCTCTCCTTCGTTTTTGTGTTTGTTACTCTGTTGTAACTTCTCTAATCTTCGGCACTTATATGACCTTATTGTGTTGCAAGTGCCGTAAAACTCCTACTAAAACTAAACTACCACTACGACAAAACGGACAGCCAATGAGTTTGTGAATGGTAAAAAAAAAATTGTTCCCGCATCCGATCCGGACATTGGGGATAGCCTTGTCAGTGAGACAACTTCCTGGTCCTTCGGCATATTGTGGTAGGGTGGCCAGTTCCTTTGCACGCCGCCTTTACTTCCCCAACTCGAAGTCAGGTACCCATTACTGCTGGGGGGGCGAAAAAAATCCGGGTCCGAACCGAGTCTCGAACCTGGACTTTCTGCTTCGGAGACGAGCGCACTAACCGCTAACTAACTGTGAATGGTAGACAATAAAAATAAGAAAAGTCTTTCGGCATCAACATAACTCAATTATTTCATTCTGTTTGTGTTGTTGTTGTTACTTTTGTTGGCCTTGGTAAGCGTTATACGGTAATCGCAACTGCATAAGATCACATGACTGCGCGGGACATATTTATATTTAACATTTTCAGTTTGGTGGGAATTAATTTGGAATTTTGCACGGGTGGCGGCCGAAGCCTACTCTTATCGATTATGAACCACCAAGGGATCTTCAAAGTGCATAACTTGCACACGGGACCTCCAAGATTTTTCGCCCTTATCCGAGAAGGCTAG